TGGCACCTGGCCAGAGCTGTACTTTTGTTCTGAGATGTCTGACCCCACCTCAGGGCCCACACAATCCTACTCCCTCTGCACCCATCAACTCTGGACACTGGATCTGGCCATCTTCCGTGCTCTTCAGTCTCTGCTATTTCGGTACTCGGTTTTTTGTTTTTCCTCTGAATATTTAACTGCTGCACAGGTTTTTTTCCTTGCAAGCTTAGCCAGACATTTGAAAGTGTTTTCTAAGTATTTCATTCTAGATTTTTTAGCTGCTCTATAGCAGAACATCTAATCTTCAAAGTAACTAGAAATCAAATTTCTTGGCATATTTTTTCCATAATGCTTCTTATGATCTATAGTTTTATCATTGTCTTATCTGAGTTGTGTCACTTCTCCAGGAGCCCCAGGTGAATCCTGCACTAACCAAGCAAGTAAATTGACCCACAAAGGGGAAAGCCCAGTGCTCACGGATCTCAGGGGATGGAACTACAAGTCAGTATGTTTCCCCCCAAATCCTCATTTACATTATCTTTATTTGTAAAGTGTATTTTGTTTTGCTGGTCAGCCTACACGTTTCTTCTCAAAACGATCAAAGCCAAACACACAAAACAATGGAAGATCCTTTATCTCTCAGATTCACTGAAGAGATAGATGTGTAAGCAAAGTAACTGTGGAACTGAAAAGCCAACAGAGGCATCAGCAAAATGACAATGTAGTTTCAAACCAAGAGAAGAGGAATGGGATGGCGAGGTCTACACTTGTAGTCACTGCTACTTGGGATGTTGAGGTAGGAGGATTATCTGAACTCTGGTCATTTGAGGACCGTCATCATCAGGAGTTTGAGTCCAGCCTGTTCAACATAATGCAACTTCATTTAATAAGTAATATATATATATATATATATATATATATAATAATAATAAAAAGAGAAGCGGTCAGTCAGATCATCTGGAGGTGAAGGCAGAGTGGGCAGCTGACAGGAGACATTACCTAATCTCAGTTTCACAGGCTCTTAGATAGACAAGAATAGCAAGAGAAGGGATGACTTCAGCGAACGCAGACACCCTAAGTGAGACAAGGCATGCAATAACAACTGGCTGTGAGGAGCTGGGGTTGGCACCCTTGCCTGGCTAGAACATGGGTACAATGGCATGCATTGACGTTACACATTGGAAAGGTAGGTAGAATCAAATATCTTGCATAGACCAAGAGCTGGGGTGTGGCAAAGTGTTTAGATCACTTACTTAGCATACCTGAGGCTCTAAACTCAATCACTGGCAGGGATTTGTGGACCTCACCCTGAGGGCATACAGATCCCTAAAAAGCTTTTGAGCTAGAGAGTAACGCATTTTAGAAACACTTTACTACTTGGTTCCGCTTTACACAGCAAATCAAGCTTAAGTAATCAATTTCCTTCTTGAGTCTGGAGCTCTCTGAAGACGTCTGAAATAAGACACAACCCTTAGCACCAGCTCCCCCTGTCAGAAACATCCTAGCTGGCTTAGAGCATCTTCTTAATTTCCAGCTAAGCAAGATTTGCTGCTGATGACCAGATGCAGCTTGGAGGTCAGCCTAGCACTGCTCCAGTTTGTTCAAAAGGTTTTTTTTTAATTATAAAGCCCTTTTATATCACATAAAGAGAAAAGTGAAATGCATAAGTGAATATAGCATGCTTTTGTCTGGATGTTAATGATGAAAGGATAAACACTGGTCAGTCTTCATTCACGGCTACACTAAGTTATTGCTCTCACTAGTATCTGTCAATCATCAGTCATGTTTTCGAACTTTGAGCACTGTTTCCAGGTGGCTTCTCCCATGCCAGTCTCTTCACTCTCTATATTCACAGTGACTACAAGTGTGTATTCTGTAGATATTTGTCTATTAAAAGTTTCATGAGTTGGGTCCTGGTGGCTCACACCACTATCCTAGCTACTCAAGAGGCTGAGATCTAAGGATTGTGTTTTGAAGCCAGCCTGGGCAGAAAAGTCTGTAAGACTGTTATCTCTGAAAAAACTGAAAAAACTCTGAAATGGAGCTATGGCTCAAGTGGTAGAGCCACAGCTTTTTTGTGTCTTGAACACAAAAGTTCAGAACAGGGCCAGACCCTGAGTTCAGGCTCCAGGACTGACACAAAATAAAAAACCAAAAAGCATGGATGAATACAACGTACATTTTAAGTGGATATATAACTTTGTAAACAAAAGACATTATGGTTCATCAGGTTCCACCTATTCTAGGTTCCATGTTTGCAATGCAATATGAAAACGGTGATTAGTGGGCACTGAGCACCTATTTTATCTCCAGATATTGGAGATGAAAAGCAGAAAGCCCAGTCCTGCTCTCAAACTTGACCATGACAGCTAGAAAGGGAGATTTTCCCAAGCTAGTGGAAATAATAAGCACTACAACAGACACATAGACAGAATTCTGGGGGAGACCTCCAACCCAGTACAGCATTGGGACCTTCCAGATGATCAATCCCTGAGCTAAGTCATGAATGAACAATAAGGGTTAGACTTGTTCCATTATCAGCCTGTAATGGTGTATAATGACCATTCACTGGGTCTGTGCCATCTGAATTCTTGAGAAAGAGAAAATAATCAACATGGCAAATTAGAGCCAACATTTCAGTAAGAGAAGTATTGAAGTTCTTTGCAGATTGCTGTGGATACTCATTTATGTGATCATCAAACATTTATTGAGCATTATTCTCAGTGAGGTAATGATATATACTGTGGAAATATAAGCCATGACACCAAAACTGCAAAACATGCTTTCCTCACTGGAGGCCACAAACAATTCATAGAAACATCGGCTATTTATTCATCAGACCCAGCGTTACTGGCTTTGGTAATAAACCTGCAGAAATGAGTGCTGTGGCTCCAAGTGTTTAGGAATGGACCATCTTAAGGCTGTATTTTTCAGCAATTCTCAGACAGGAGAAAAAAAATGAACACAAGAGAACAGTATTATTTAAAAGAAAAAGGTATTCCAGAGTGGGAAAATCAGAAAAGAGAAGGATAAGAAATAGGTGAGGAAGTGGCGCTGTAGCTCAAGTGGTAGAGTGCTGCTTGCCTTGAGCTAAAGAGCTGAGGGACAGCACCCAAGCCCAGAGTTCAAGCTCCATGGCCGACAAAAAAAAAAAAAAGTAGGTGAATAAAACACAGAGTACTAAACTAAAAGTTACAGGGAATTATGTAAGTCAAGTATTGTACTGGGCTTCACTGAAAAGCATGAATGGGTACCAAATGTGTCAACAATACCGAGTCCCAGCCAGTATAGCTCCGGATCCACAAGAGAAATGTTTTGTTAGATCTGCACCCTGCTTTGGACTTCTCTAAATTCTTGTCATCTTAAAATTTTGACCAGGTGCCAGTGGCTCATGCCTGTATCCTAGCTACTCAGGAGGCTGAGATCTGAGGATCATGGTTCAAAGCCAGCTGGGACGGGAAAGTCTGTGAGACTCATCTCCAATTAACGCTAGAAAACCAGAAGTGGTGCTGTGGCTCAAAGTGGTAGAGCACTAACCTTGAACAAAAAAGCTCAGAGACAGCACCCAGGCCCTGAGTTCAAGACCCACGACTGACCAAAAACAAACAAACAAAAAAAGACTTCGTAAAATTCACATAAAGATCTAGATTCTTGACTTATCTTTTAAAAATTGGAAATCTGGTAACATTCATCAACAAGCAGCATCCCCCTTTAGATTAAATGTGTTTCCTAGTTTGCTTTATGTTACCCATACTTTTCCCACGACTTAAAATTTTTCCAACCCTTATTCAAAGATCTAACAAGAAGAAAATAAATTTGCATAAGTAATTATAATAAGAGGTAGAGGTCTAAATCACATTGGGAGTTTCCCTGTTTATTAAATGTCAGTTTCCTAGTTCTCACTGGTTGTTAGACCTCTTGCTATCCTGGGATGCTGCTTAAACCTGGTCTCTAAGGGTTCACCTTCAGCAAAGCACATCTGAGCAATCAGTGCACAGGGCAAAAATGCTGCTCTCAAGTTAATATCCAAGACTCAGCATGGCCCAAGGAGTAATGAACCACCAGCCCCTGGGGAGTCAGAAATGTGACATCTTAGCTGAGGTTACAAGGGCCACAGACAAGTCATAGAGGTCAGAAGCCTTAGGGAAGCCCCAGGATTTTGATGTGGCTGGAGCATAAGGTAACTGAAGATAATGAAGCTGACAAATAGGTTCATTGGATTTACATTACAGTAGAGAATGGGTTTGGATGATGGAAACTAGAATCAAGAATGCTTCAGTTCAGGGAACTAGTATAGGTGTGAAGCCTGAATTTTAGAGAATGTAAAGGATGGTATGGGCAGCATGAATTTCAAAGAGAGAACCACCATGCAAAGCAACTTATCGTGAAGTACTCAGGCAAGTAAAGTGAATCCTCAACCAGACACCAGTGGTTCACACATTTAATCCTAACTGCTCAAGAGATTGAAATCTGGATGATCAAGATTTGAAGCTAGCCCTGGCAGAAATGCCCAGGAGATCCTATCTCCAAAATAACCAGCAAAAATCCAAGCTAACATCATGACTCAAGTGGTAGAGTGCCAACCACAAGCAAGAAAGCTAATCAAGAGCTTTGGGCCCCAAATTCAAGCACTGGGACAGGCAAAATAAATAAAAATGGATTCTTAAGTGTCACTAATTCTGGAAACTCTTATTCTGCTAGTTTAAGAATGTTTGGGTAGGTTAGAAGTATAGATCATTTAATAGAGCAATAGCCAGTTTGTGAAAGCATTAGATACCAATGTTTTTGGTACCCAAAAAAAGAAAAGAAAGTTTTGGAACTAAGGCACATTTCTGCATGGTGTTTCAGTAGTTGAGGAACTCATCTCTCTTTGGTATTAGCCAAAAAGCATTAGTTATACCTTGCCTATGGAACCATTGCAGGTAGCAAATGGCTGGTGTCATGCAGCCCAGTGAAAATAGAAAGAAGCAATACTTTGAGTGGGACACTCTGTGAGCTGTGTTCTCCATTTCTTCCTACAGGGAACCCCGCAAGGTGGTCCTGCACAAAGGCTCTACTGGCCTGGGCTTCAACATTGTGGGTGGGGAAGATGGAGAAGGTATTTTTGTATCCTTCATTCTGGCCGGGGGACCAGCAGACCTGAGTGGGGAACTCCAGAGAGGAGACCAGATCCTATCGGTGAGTGTTTCTTTAATCATCTTTCCCTAAGTCTCTTCCATTACAAAGGACTTGAGCTTTGTGACAGGACAGTTTAGATGTGCTCAGTTGATTGATGCCTCCAACTTCTTTCTTTCAGACAAAGATGAGGTGCTAATGTTTTTTCCCAGATTCTCTGAGACTTATTTGCATCCAATAGGACCTTGAGAAACATGCTTTAAAAAAAAAAATGCATAGTACTGCCCCAGGCACCAAGGTGGCTCAAGCCTGTAATCCTAGCTACTCAGGAGGCTGAGATATGAGTATCATGGTTCATAAGCAGGAAAGTCCATGAGACTTTTATGTCTGATGAACTATCAAAAGTCTGCAAGTGGAGCTATGGCTCAAATGGTTGAGCACCAGACTTGAGCGAAAAGGCCATGCAAGAGCACAAAGCACTGAGTTCAATTCAACACTGATGAACCAAGTCAACACCGATATTCACCAGAGACTATGTTGGAAATGAACTTTACAACTTGGTAGGGTCAGAGTATGGAGAGGGGATAAATGGGAGAAAATGAGGGAGGGGGTAACACTGTTCAAAAAGAAATGTAGGGCTGAGAAAGTGGCTCAGTGGAAGAGTGCTTGCCTTGAATGCATGAGGCCCTGTGTTTGATTCCTCAGCACCACATAAGCAGAAAAAGCCGGAAGTGGCACTGCGGCTCAAGTGCTAGCCTGAGCTGAAGAGCTGAGGCCAGGCCCAGGCCCAGAGTTCAGACCCCACAACCAACAAAAACAAAAAGAAATGTACACCTGCCTGATTTATTTAACTGTAGCCCCTCTTTATATCACCTTTACAATAAAATTTAAATTTAAAAAATACTTTTTATCCAAACTCATGATCATACTTCTGAAACCATTCCTCTCTAAAGTGTGTTATTTGGAGCAGGGTCCTATGTGAGAAGTTTCTGGAGATGCTGTTGGTGGTTCAGTTTGCTGATGGAGGTAATGGGACCAGCAGCACTGGCCTAAGTTCAAGAATTGTCAGCAGCAACTTATTAAACACCTATTAGGGATGGGAATGTGGCTTAGTGGTAGATTGCTTACCTAACATGCATGAAACCCTGGGTTCAATTCCTCAGTACCACATAAACAGGAAAGGCCAGAAGTGGCCCTTTGGCTCAAATGGTAGAGTGCTAGCCTTAAGCACAAAGAGGTTCAAGGACAGTGCCCAGGCCCTAAGTTCAAGCCTCGGGACCAAAAAACAACAACAGCAATAAATCTATTATTCATTGAACATTTTATAAGAGTAATGTTGAAGGTCACTTCATTAAGCTATGATTGACATATGGAAAGCTGTATTTAATATATACAATTTCATGGGTTTAAAATATGTATCTGTGCTTGGCACCTGTGGCTCACGCCTGTAATCCTGGCTACTCAGAAGGCTGAGATCTGAGGATCATGGTTCAGCAAGCTTGGGCAGGAAAGTCCATGAGACTCTTATTTCCAATAAACCACTAGAAAACGGGAAGTGGCGCTGTGGCTCAAGCGGTAGAGCGCTTGCCTTGAGCTCAAGAGCGCAGGGACAGCGCCCAGGCCCAGAGTTCAAGACCCTCAACCAACAAAAAAAAGAAAAGAAAAATTGTATCTGTTCATTTCCTTAAATCAGCTTTAATTTCCTTTTTCAGGTTTTTAAAGTTTTTACCATAGAGTTCCTTCACATCTTTGGTTAATTCCTGGGGATTTTTGTTTTAGGCTATTACAAAAGAAGTTGCTTTCCTGATTTTAGCCTCACTCTTCTCATTGTTGCTATAGAGGAAAAACTATTGATTTTTGTGGGTTAATTTTATACCCTGCTACTTTGCCAAAGTTTTGGGAGAGAAATCCATGGGATTCTTTAAATACCAGGATCATGTCATCTACAAAGAGGGAGAATTTTACTTCTTATTTCCCTATTTGAATCCCCTTTATATGTGTCTCTTGCCTATTGTTCTGGCTAGGAATTCCAATACCATATTAAAGAGGAGTGGAGAGAGCAGACATCCTCATTCTGATTTTAGAGGAAATGGAGTTAGCTTTTCAGCATTAAGTATAATGCTGGCTGTAGGTTTGTCATATACAGCCTTTATTATATTGAGGATGTTCCATGGATTCCTAGCTTCTCCTGAGCTTTTATCATAAAGTGGTGTTGGATTTTGTCAAATGCTTTTTCTGCATCTATTGAGATAATCATGTGGTTCCTGTCCTTGCTCCTGTTGACACGTTGAATTACATTAATTGACTTGTATATATTGAACCAGCTTTGCACCCCTGGAATGAATCCCATTTGATCCTAGTGTATGATTTTTTATTAGTTATTAAAAGCAGTTGGCAAAAATTTTATTGAGAGGTTTTGCATTGATGTTCATTAAAGAAATGAGTCTATAGTTCTCTTTTTTGATGAGTTTCTGTCTGGTTTTGGGATGAGAGTCATGCTGGCTTCATAGAATGAATTTGGTAGTGAACTTTTGCTTTCAATTTCATTGAAGAGTTTGAGGAGTATTGGAGTGAGTGCTCCTTTCAAGACCTTATCAGTAGTGAATCCATCTGGTCCTGGACTTTTCTTGGATGGGAGCTCTTTTATTGCCATTTCTATTTCATTACTTGTTATGGGTCTATCCAGTTGGTTTAAATCTTCTAGTATATTCTTAACAGAGGATCATAATGGCTCAATAGTTATGTGCATATGAAAAAGAAAATGATGGTTTTTCTTCTTTTTTTATTGTGAAGATACTGTACAGAGGGGTTACAATTGCATGGGCAAGATAAAGAGTACATTTCTTATCAAGCATTGTAGCCTCCTCCTTTGTTTCCCCTTCCCATCCCTTCCCAGCCTCCCCCCGCCACCCTCTCCACCCCACCACCCATGCACCAAAGTTGTAAAGTTCGTTTTTGACATAACGACTTGTACATCTCATTGTTGTATCCCTATTTAAACAATTTGTTAAAGTGATGCTTATTGAAATGAACTTCAAGAAATGGAAACAATAGTTTTTTTTTATTGTACTGCTTGCAGTTATTTCTTTTTTCTTTTTCTCCTTTGGTTTATTCCCTGTTGTCACTTTTTTATATTTTTTAATTCTTTGTCTTATATATAAGTTTATCTGATTTGGGGGAATCAGAATTGGTGGGACAAAGGATAAACCAATGCAACAATGATACTCACTAGACACTATATTGGAAATGAACTTTATAATTTGGTAGGGTTGGAGTATTGAGAGGGGGAAAATGAGAGAAAATGAGGGAGGGAGGAACACTCTTCAAAAATAAGACTGGGAAGGTGGCACTCTATCAAAAATAAGACTGGGAAGGTGGCTCAGTGATAGACTGTTTGTCTTGCATGCATGAAGCCCTGGGTTCAATTCCTCAGCATTACATAAGCAGAAAAAGCCAGAAGTGGTGCTATGGCTCAAGTGGTGGAGCACTAGCCTTAAGCTGAAGAGCTGAGGGACAGCGCCCAGGCCCAGAGTTCATGCCCTATGACCGACAAAAAAAAAGAAAGAAAGAAAAAGAAAAAAAGAAAATCTACTCATTACCTGACTTATGTAAGCAATCCCTCTGTTCATCACCTGTACAATAAAATTTAATTTAAAAATACCTAAAAATATATGTAGCTGTGATACCATCAAACATATTCTATGTTATAAACATATTCATCACTTCTGAAAGTTTCTCCCAGCCCTCTGAATTGCCTTATATATACGATAAGTACACCTACATAATATTTACCCACATATCAAAAAAGGAATATACCACACTACTGCTAATTATAAGTAGTATGCTGGACAGTAGAACTCAAGGACTTACTCATCTAATTATGAATTTTTAATTCTTGAAATCTTTCAAGACATTACCCCATAGTTAGGTGAAGACATTACTATTCAGAGAGATTGTTATTTGCCAAAGTTTACCTGACTAATTAATAGCAATAATCAACATATGTGAATTAAAATTATAAATAAGTATTTTTGAGCAGTAATGAAGTTTGAACTTAGGATCTGGTACTTGCTAGGCAGGTAGTGTAGTACATGAGGCCACATCCCCAAGACCTCTTTGCTGTAGTTGTTTTTGGGTAGATGATCTTACCGTTTTTCCTGGGCTATCCTCAAACTATGATCCTCCTCCAGATGCCTGCCTCTTAACTAGCTGGAATTACTGGTATATACCTTTAATAATGATTCATGCCTGGCATACAAGAAAATAAAGTTTACTAATTTGTAAGAATCAGAGCTAAGATTTGCATATTCAATTTCAAAGTCCCCTCACATCTCCCCTCTACTTTTTCCATTTTTACATTTTTCCTTTCCTCATGCTGTTTTTGCCTATGTTTTTTTCTTTTGTTCAAATATTTATAGACTCTTTAGTTCCACTACATCAAGCTACCACTCTGATGTGATGGGTAGTTAAATCATTGTAAATGTTTATACTCATATTAGAATTTTGGAAATCAAGCAAATAATAATGGGGAATTACATAAGGAAGCCCAGTTCTTATGGCTGAGATGATAGCTCATAACTCAAAAAAACACATGGTTTGTGGTTTTCATTGTGTACATAGAAAATGTACTTTCATTTTAATAGCTATGAGTTATAGGGAATATTTTCCAAGTGACCTTATATTTGCAAGCCATTATTCCAATCCCTTACACAAATGAACATTTCTCATCCTCCATTCTTTCTGCCCTCCCTCGTTTCCCTTCTGTCCTCTCTGTCTCCCCCACACACACACACAATATTAATCCTAACATTCTTTCTGGGAACTACTACCATGCCACCTAATGTATTTACTTGTGAGTTTGTGAGAAAAATATTCCTTATTCTATATATGTTTTTATTGTAGAAATACTGTACAGAGGCGTTAGTTACATAAATAAGATAATGAGTACATTTTCTATTGAGCATTGCTACCTCCTTTGTTTTTCCCCTACCATCCCTTCCATCCCCACCTCTCCAAATCCTCCCTCCCCCTCCCCCCGAAGTTGTAAAATTCATTTTCAACAT